TTCCTCCTTCTTTTGTTAAAAACATGTTTGTGCATGTATATGCTTGTACTAAGAAAATCAGCATTTAAGTATTGTTAACTTTATGTGATAGTATTTGCATTTGGGATTGGTGCACTTCTGGTTGTACAAAGGATAGCTGCATTATATTATGTGTAATTATAACCCTATTATTGTCTTTATTTGACTATTGTGTATGATCTCAGAAGATGTGTATGGGTTCAAGTTGAAAAGGGGGGACCTTGTGGTGATTAATACTGAGTGTCAACTTGATCCTGGGTGTGTCTGTGGGGGGGTTGCCAAAGTAAATTAACATTCGAGTAAGTGGGCTGGGAAAGGCAGACTCACCCTTAATCTGAGTGGGTACCAGCTAATCAGCTGCCAGTGTGGTTACAATATAACGCAGGCAGAAAAACGTAAAAAGACTAGACTGGCCTAGCCTCCCGGCCTACATCTTTCTCCTGTGCTGCATGTTTCCTGCCCTGGAACATCTGGACTCTGTGCTTTTTCAGCTGGGGGACTCAGACTGGTTCTCCTTGCTCCTCAGCTTACAGATGGCCTATTGTGGTACCTCTTAATGGTGTGAGTTAATACATAATAAACACACCTTTTTTTATATATATATATATTTATATATTTACTTAATATATTTATATATTTACTTAATAAACACAACTTTATATATATTATATGTTTAAGTATTATATATATCTTATATATATCTTGTTTTTTATATATATACACACACAAATACATATACATACACACACACATATACCTTGTTTGTTTATATATATATATATATATATCCTATTAGTTCTGTCCCTCTAGAGAACCCTGGCTAATACACATATTAAGACAATCATTAGCAGTTAAATGCACAAAATACTAGTATGCAACAGGAAATATTGGCCCAAATCTGTATTTAAAAGATAGCCTACAGAGTTTCAGAGGTTCTGGGGTAATGTGAAGTCATCTACCTGCATGTGCTGTGGTGTATTCGGCCACTTCTCAGCTGTGTCAACACACTCAGTGACATGTAAGTGAGGTCAATAGAGCTCTGAGTCTTCCACAAAACTATCACTTGAGCCAACTCTGATGCCATAATCACCACCATAATCAAGCTTCAGGAGGCTCTACTGAGAATCAATTATTCATTTTTAATTAAAAGACAAGGTATCTTCGTTTTACATATTTTTATCTCAATTCTTCCCTGTTCTCAGTCTCATCATCTCAGACTCTTCCTTAATTCTTCAAATCCTTTCACCATGCCCTTTAAAACATGGTTTAACCGACAGATCTCTCTTACACCTTAAACTTCTTCTATACACATTCTTTCTCATAATTCAACTTTCTGAAAGTCATTTCTTCTATAGCTCTCTTAAGGGTGGCTACTTATTTCTCCCACACCACATCCCTACCACAGGCCTGTGGCTGGAGGTAGAGGAGTGTTCTACTTGCTCCTAATTGATGGTTTCAGATATTTCTCATTACTTCCTATAATCTTAACTTTTTTGAAACTCATGTCATCTGGCTGTACCGCGAGCTACTTTGAAATTTTGTGATCAATATAAAGCTTTCATTTAAGTTCTAACACCTGGGGCATCACACATCTTTTTATTGCTAATAATTGTTGCTTATTATGTAGCCTTCAAAATCTGCTAGTTCCAAGGTCCATACTACTTTAAATTCAACATTTTTCTTTCACATCCTCATTCAAAATATTTTTCTTCATCCCATTTGCCCACCTCATCTCATACTCCTTACCTAGATACTTTTATACCAATATGTATATGGCATCTAAAACCCTGATTTAAAACAGACTCTCTTACTACCACTTCCTAACATTTCAACACATTTACTGTGTACACAGATCAACAAGGCCATAATTCCTCTAGATCATACAATCCATTGACTCTATCACTTTTGTGTCTACCACTGTCCATAGGCCTGCCATATACTCTGTATGCAGCTTGTACTTCTAGGTCCAGCACCATAATTTCTTCTTTAATAAAATCAAAACACCTAACTCACTCTCCCTCTGTGTTACTCACCTGGCAAAACTCCAATTATGATTGCATCCAAAATTCCACCTAATTTTCAAAAATAAGCAAATATGCTGACTTGCCTCCCTTTAAATTTATGACTAAATATTTGGTTTCCATGCTCAAAGAAACTTTCCAGTAACACATGTTTTTGTTGACAATTTACTTTTCCTGTATCTAAGATAGTAAGTATAAAATTTCTCAAAGAGAAATTCTGGGGTCAACTCCCTTAAATTACCTCTATTTGTTCAGCAATATTTTCTCACACATATTTTGGGATTGTGGTTCCATTTCTCTATGTGCCTCTTTTATACCAGCACCATACTGTTTTGGTTACTACAGCCTGGTAGTTTAGTTTGAAGTCAATTAATATGATGCCTCAGGCTGCATCACTGTGGCTTTGTATTGCTTTGGATATTTGGGCTCCCATTGTGTTCCATATTAATTTTAGGATTGTCTTTTGCAATACTGTGAAAATTGCATTTGGTAACTTAAAAGAAATAGTATTGCATCTGTAGATTGCTTTGGTCAGTATGGTCATTTTAACAATTTTGTTTCTTCTAATCCATGAGCATGATGTACATTTGTTTGTGTCACATATGTCTTCTTTCAGCAGTGCTTTATGGTTCTCCTCGTATAGATCCTTCACCTCCTTGGTTAGATGTATCCCTAGGTGTGTGTGTGTGTGTGGCTATCATAAATGGGATTGTGTTTTTTATTTGGTTCTCAGCTTGGACATTATTGGTGTATAGGAATGTTACTAATTTTTGTACACTGATTTTGCAGCCTAAGGTTTTGCTGAAGTCATTTATTAGACTTAGGAGTCTTTTGGCAGAAGTTTTATGGTTTTCTAGGTATATAATCACATTGTCAGTGAAGGCAGATAGTTTGAGTTTGTCTTCTATTTCAAAGCTATTTATTCCTTTTCTTGTCTAATTTATCTGGCTAAGACTTCCAGTCATACATTGAACAGGAGTGGTGAGAATGGACGTCCTTGTTTTGTTCCAGTTTTAGGGGTAATGCTTCCTACTTTTGCTCACTAAGTATGATGTTGGCTCTGGTTTTGTCATAGATGACTCATTGTTTTGAGGTATTTTCCTTCAATGCCTAGTTCGTAGAGGATTTTTATCATGAAGGGATACTGGATTTCATCAAATGCTTCTTTTGCAACTATGAAGATAATCATAGAGTTTTTGCTTTCAATCCTATTTATGTAGTAAATTACATTTATTGATTTGTGTATGTTGAACCAACTTTGCATTGCAGGAATGAAGCCCCCTTGGTTGTGGTGAAGTAACTTTTGATGTACTGTTGGATTTGGTTTGCTAATATTTTGCTGAGCATATTTTCACCTATTTTAATCAGTGATAGTTGCCGGTAGTTACTTTTTTTTTTTTTTTTTTTTTGAGTCTTTACCAGGTTTGGTGTCAGGATGATACCGCTATTGCAGAACAAGTTAGGAAGGCGTTCCTCCTCCTTGATTTTTTGGAATAGTTTTGGTAGAATTGGTACCAGCTCTTCTTTGTATGTCTGGTAGAATTTGGCTGTAAATTCATCTTATCCAGAGCATTGTTTGGATTGGTAAGGATTATATTATTGATTCAATTTTACAACTTGATATTGGTCTGTTTGGAATTTTTTTTTTCATCCTCTTTCAATCTTGGGAAGTTGTAGATTTACAAGAGTTTATGCATTTCCTCTAGATTTTCTAGTATATGTGCACAGAGATGTTAATATAATCTCTGAGAATCTTTTCTATTTCTGTGGTACTGGTTGCAATGTCATCTTCATCATTTCTATGTGCTTATTTTGATTTTCTCTTTTTTTCCTTTGGTAAGCTAGCTTGTGGTCTATCAATCTTATTTATCCTCTGAAAAAGTCAACTTTTTGTTTTATTGATTCTTTTTATGGTTTTTTGGGTTTCAATTTCATGCAGTTATGCTCTGATTTTAGTTATTTCTTTTATTCTGCTAGCTTTGGGTTTAGTTTGTTCTTGTTTTTCTAGTTTCTTCAGGTGTGAGATTAGTTTGTTAGTTTGAGATCTTTCGTTCTACTTGATGTAGGCATTTAGAGCTATACACTTGCCTATTAACACTGTTTCTGCACATCCCAGAGGTTTTGATATGTTGTGTCTCTATTTCCATTCATTTTAGATAAATTTGTGATTTCTTCCTTAATTTTGTTGTTTACTTAAAAGTCATTCAAGAATCAGTTGATTAGTTTCCATGTACCTGTGTCATTTTGAGAGATTTCTATTTTTATTCTACTTTGGTCCAAGAAAATCCTTGGTATGATTCTTTTTTCTTTTTTTTTTTTCATTTTGTTTGATACTGAATTTATGGTCAAGCATGTGGTAAATCTTAGAGTATGTTCCATGTGCAGTTGAACAGAAATGGATATTTTGTGATTGTTGAATGAACTATTCTGTAGACATTAATTAAGTCCAACTGGTCAAGTTCCAATTTAAGTCCCAAATTTCTTTGTTAGTTTCTTTTTTTTTTTTTTTTTTCTACTTTATGGTCTTATTTGACTCACCATATGACAAAAGTCTTAAACTTAGTAAGGGGGAAAGTTCTTAATATCCAGTTTTGGATTCAAGAGATTATACTAGTTAATTTCCCCCTCAACTCACTGGAAAGAATGCTAGTTGAGAATATGCTAAAAATCTAACCTTTAAAATGTTTTCTGCATTCCAGAAATGAACCTGTCCACTCAGGTTTTCTTTGGGTTCTTTTCCAGGTCCCAAACAGAACAACTTAACTGAGTTACAGAGGCAGAACAGGGAAGGGGTGGGAAGTAAGACAAATAGAGATTGCCCCCCTGTGGCAGCATTAATCCCTGGGTATTGTGGCAATATTGAAAACGAATGGAATTTGCTACCCCCTTGACATGACATGTAATTGCTTGCTTCTCAAATTCTTCTTAAAAGATCTATATTTTATTGGGAAAAAAAAAATTAAGAACTAGTAAGTGTCCCATATTCACTTAGAAAAAGGGGGCAAATGATAGTGCCTTAACAACTTCATAGGTTTTTCCAATCATCACAATACTAAAGATAATGTGACAATTCAATTTTTTGGTTATATGGAAATCTATAGCAAAATGGCAGCCACTATGGCAAGTGAAGGGATATGTTTTAGACTGTTAGATGATATTTAATGGAATGCAGAAAGCAGTTGGTACATTGTGACCAATGCTGCATCATTAACAGCAGGTCCACCTTTGGGTTATTAAGTTTCATCTGTGACATTGTGATCCTTAGTGAGATCAGATCAAGAGACAGTACAGTCAGTTTCTCAGGTGGTAAATACAATGCCACTCCAAGGAACACCCATCCCCTTTCCTAGCTGGAATTATGCTGCTGTTATTCAATGTGCAGGGCTCAGTGAGGGAGACACAGACTTACTGGCGTCAACAGAGGTGAGAGCAAGAGCAATAGCAGCTACCCTGTGTTCCCAATGTCTTGCCTATGCTCCCACTTTCTTAGCAATAGAATTCCGTAGTGCATGGGTACATCGTTATAAACAAGGCCTAATGAAGCAGCAGCTTCCGCATTTTAACGCAGGTTTATGGTGATACTGTCCTTTGGGATCTGCCCTCCAATGGAACCTTTTAAGGAAGAAGCGGGCCCAAGCTAAGTTCCACATGCTGGGTGAGCCAGATGACTTCTGTTCCCTGGTCACTTTCTTCAATGGGGCGAATGGGGGCTGCCAGGTTTTTAAAATCGTGCTTCATCTTGAAGCACATGGTCACTTCACCCTCCTCACGCTGTGGTGTAACTTTGATGAAAATACCCACTTTGTTGGCCTTTCTGAAGGCTATAATGTCGGGATCGTCCTGAAAGTCTTGAGGTTCTGCCAACTCATCGTACTCTGCTGCTGCATCCTTGCCAGCTAAAATGAGCTCTTTGGGAGGCACCACCACCTTAGCAGTGCTGTTGATATCATCAGCATCCCCCTCCTCACACTCCAACAGAGTCACATGGGTGAGGTTCTCAACTGGATTCGTAAGAGTCAGGAGGACCTGGCTCTCCTTCATGTAGCGAAGGTCGGGAATTGACATGATTCTCACTTCTGGAATATAATTGACAGCAACCAGTTGGATTTTGAATTTGATTGATGTTGGGTTAAATTCTGGCTTGCTCAAATTATGTTCACATTTACGGCAGCGCAGGGACCGTTTGATCAGAAGATGTTTGTGGCGAGGATATAGCTGTGAAGCACAGACTGGCTGGAAGTCAGGCTGTAACAGACGCTGCTGAAGGGTGGTTACCTCTGTTAAATTTACTGGTCTTGTATAATAGTCTTCAGGTAGAGGTTCCACTTCATCCACAGCCTGAGCTGGCTCAATCTTTATCTCTTTCTGGTCCTCTCCTTCTTTAAGGGAAAGTCCAGCAATGGTACTGATGGACGCACCAGCTCGTGGTCGCTGAAGCCTGGTTCCAAGACCATATTTGTCCGAAAAAGCCAGAGGCATATAGTTTCTACGTCGTGCCAGTTTCTTGCGATCTCGCTCAACCTTCTCTTTCTGAGCAAGCTGCTGGTAATATTCAATCAATTTGTTCATCCGTTGTGTGTGAGGATTTTCAGGTTCCTGCCAACCGCCACTAGCTACAGATTTGTCTGCCATGCCCACATCTCTAGACGTCCAGCGACAAAATCCACATGCCAGGTAATAGGCTTTCTTCATGGTGGTCTTGGCTGGGTCATCTGGAAGCTGTATGGAGATGCTTGTGGCCCGGGTAGAGAGGGTGTGCATGCAGCCAGGACAGTCAAAGCAATTGGCACATCTATTCTTTTTTAGTTTGGCTTCAGCCGACGGCATATTTTCTAAACAACTGGGACAATAATGGGAGTCCACCTCGTGAGACACACATTCCAACGACCGCAGTTCGCTACAATAGCGGCAGAAGTAGAGCTGCGAGAGCGGGGCCCGAACCTTCTTTTCTCCCTGGACTAGATAGAGAACCCGGTCCGACTGCAGCAACGACGCCATCTTGCGGAGGGAGGACGTTAGTTTCTTTCTAAATGAGCTATCTAATGCTGTCAGTGAGGTTTTGAAGATGTCACTATTATTGTGTATATGTATAAGCCATTTTCAGGTCTACAAATAGTTGTTATATAAATCTGGTTGCTCCATTGTTGATTGCAAGCATATTTAGAATAGTTAAGCCTATTGTTGAATTAAACTTTTTATTATTATGAAATTCCCTTCTCTGTCCTTTTTTACTGTTGTTCTTTTAAAGCCTGTTTTATCTGACACAAGAATAGTGACACTTGCTCTTTTTCATTTTTCATTTGTGTGATAGAATTTGTGATAGATTTTTCTCTTTCCCATTACTTTGAGCCTATGAGTGTCATTACATAAATATGGTTTTCTTAAATACAGCAGAGGGATGCTTCTTGTTTTTCATGCAATTTGCCACTCTCTGCCTTTAAATGGAGCATTTTGGTAATTTATATTTAAGATTAATATTGATATGAGAGATTTTTTCCTGTTGTAGTGTTAATGAGTTGCTTTGTAGTTTTGATTGCGTAGTTGCTTTACAGGATCTGTAGTTATGTGCTTGTGTGCGCTTTTGTGGTAGTAGATATTGTTATTTTGTTTCCATGTTTAGATCTTCCTTAAGCATATCTATAGGGCTAGTCTGATGGCAATGAATTCCTTTAGCAAATGCTTGTCTGGGAATGACTTTCCTTCTCCTTCGTGTATGTAACTTAGTGTGGAAAGATACAAAAATTCTTGGCTGGCATTTCTTTTCTTTAATAGTGCTAAAAAGGGGACCCAGTTCCTTCTGGCTTACAAGATTTCTGCTGAGAATTCTGCTGAGAATATTAGTCTGATGAATTTCCTTTTATAGGTAATATGACCATTTTCTCTACCTGCCTTTAAGTTTGTTTTTTTTTTTTTTTTTTTTTTTTTTTTTTTCCGTTACATCAGCCTTGGATAATCTAATGACGAAGGGACTTGGGGATAGTCATGTTGTATATTATCTTGCAGGAGTTCTATGGATTTCTTATGTCTGCATGTTGACCTCTCTAGCAAGACTGGAAATTTTCCTGAATTATATACTCAAATATGTTTTCAAAGTTGCTTACTTTATCTCCTTTCTCGGGAAAGCCAATAAGTAGTAAATGTTGTCACTTTAACCAATATTTCTCAAAGGCTCTGTTTGTTTTTTAAAATCTTTTTTTTTTTTTTTTTTAACTTTTGTCTGACTGGGTTAATTTAAAGGACCAAACTTTGAGCACTGAAATTCTTTCTTCTGCTTGGTCTTGTCTGTTGTTAAGGCTTCCAACTGAATTTTTGAAGTTCTTGTAGGAAAATTTTCAATTCTAGAAGTTCCGTTTGGTTCCATCTTAATATAGCTTAATATAGTTATGTTGCCTTTCAAGTCTTGGATAATTTTTCTGGCTTCTTTGAGTTGAAATTCAACTTTCTCTTGAATGTTGTTGAGTTTCCTTGTCATCCATATTTTGAGTTCTATATCTGTCATTCCAGACATTTTATTCTGATTTAGATTCATTGCTTGGGAGCTAGTGGTATTATTTTGAGGTGATGAGAAACTCTGACATTCAGTTTTTGTGCCAATTCCTTCTCATCTCAGGGAGCTGATGGTTTGGGGACATTTTTTGTTTGTTTGTTTTAATTTCAGTGATACTTCTTTATTTTTTATTCTTTTTACTCTTGATGGCATGACTGTGATATTATGTTACATATAATCAATTGGCTTTATTTTTGCGTGCTTTCAAGGTGCTGAGGCTCCATACAGGTTCCTTGGCTGCAGAGAGATTCATCAGTGGCTTTCTCAGATGTTTCTTACTGCAGAGATGTATTTTTATTTGGTGGTATATTTCAGGCTATAGTTTAGCAGATGGCACTTAAGAGTAAGAGCCAACAGATAGGGATGGTGGCCGAGGCAATGGAGAGCATAAAAAGTGTGTTCTCTCAGCATGTGCTCACCTTCATTGGGGGTTGGAGAGGCTAAAACATCCTGAGAACTGATTTCTTTTTCTTTTCTTCTTCTTCTTCTTCTATTTTTTTTTTTTTTTTTTTTTTTTTTTTGAGACAGAGTTTCACTCTTGTTGCCCAGACTGGAGTGCAATGGCGCAATCTCAGCTCACCACAATATTTGCCTCTTGGGTTCAAGCAATTCTCCTGCCTCAATCTCCTGAGTAGCTGGGATTACAGGCATGCACAACCACGCCTGGCTAACTTTGTATTTTTGGTAGAGACAGGGTTTCTCCATGTTGTTTAGGCTGGTCTCTAACTACTGACCTCAGGTGATCTGCCTGCCTCAGCCTCCCAAAGTGCTGGGATTACAGGCGTGAGCCACTGTGCCCTGCTGTGAAGTGGTTTCTTTTACTCATACTCCTCAGGCCCTAACTGGAAGAGCCACTGCTGAGTCTACAACAGTGCACTGAAGAGGGAAATGGAGGCAAGAGATGGTCCCATTGCAGGGGTCATCCATCCTATATGTCTATTCCAGGGCTTTTGTGGTGCTATATTCAATACCTGGCACCATGTTCACATTTTCTTTGACCCAAAGAGCTTTAGGAGGCTACACTCCCTCCTTCCTTAGGGGCAGACAGCGGTGAGGATTAGATTTCCAGGGGAGTGGTATCTGCCTCTCTCCCACTCCTTATCTGATTTTCTATGAGATTGGATTTAAAATGACATCCTCTTCTCAGCCCTAGGTCTGGGAAAATACCTGCAGCTTTTCCCAGTGTCTTTCCCTCTGTCTGTCTCTCAGCCTCTCCCCAAGTTAGCTCCACAGCTTGAGAGAAAACGGTTGTTCTCTCTTGGCCTGGGTTGCACAGATCCCCAGAAGAAAGGAGAAACATAGAGGGAGAGTATCTACCCCTCTCACATAGATACTCTTCACTCAGATTCATCAGCCAAAAGCCATAACAGGGACTGCTTGCCCACCTTCTCCTCTCCAGGGTCTGGGTTGCCCTTGGCTATGCTAGTGAATTATTGTCTTTCTTCTTGAATTAAGTCTCAAAGTTGGTTTTTATGTGCTATTTTCCTGTTTACACGTGGCTGAGACACACAAAAGCCTCTAATCCACTATCTTGGGGGAAAAAAAAATCAAACTATATATTTCTAAAGATTACACTGTATATGCTCTTTATAGTTTGAGACTGAACATTTCCAATTCATCACAAATATTCTTCCTTTATATATTTTATTTTTGAACCTCCCTTTAGCTGCTATTTGCCTCACTCTCACTGTCTCTTCTTTGCATATAGGACAGGAGAGAAAGTGAAAGCGTTTGTTCACGACACCATCTTGATTTGATCTTAGTTTTTTCTGGATTAACTACTTTATAATTTGGCCAGTTATCAGCATGTCTATAACTCTTAAAATATACATTTTTAGCTTCAATATTTTTCTTGTGCTTCAGACTTTGCTTATTTCATATTATTATTTAGATTTTTTTCCAGCTACATCAAAACTCAGCATAACCACAGCTAACCTCATCATTTCTTTCCCAAACTTGCTCCCCTTCAAAACAAAAGCACAAGTGTCAATAATGGCAACATATTATATCCATTTGTCCAATCCAGAAATCTAGTGTGAGCAACATTACTGATGCTTCCTCTCCATGACTCTCAGCTCTCACATTCAATCAATCCCAGGCCACTTTCATATGCTATCATGTGTCTTCTGAATTATGGTAAGAAGTTTCTAATTGGATTCCTTACTTCTTGTCTTGCTCACCACTGGTCTATTTTTCTAGAACAGTCAGAAAGGCTATTCTCAAATAACTTTATCAATTTAATATCCTACCTGATAGCTTTAAGGCATTTGTAATTCTCTAAGCCTAAATATCACCATGAAAAGCATTATTAGTTGCCTAGCCAATGGCTAATTCTCCCTTTCTTTTTTGCCAGCGGAGTCTGTCTTCCACTATATCCACAGACAATGCCAGATATCTCCTTTCTTAGATACACTTGCAGCTCAAGAGTATGCAAATAACTCAATCCTGGTGAACTGAGCCTGAGGTATGATCTGTTAGAGGGCTTCTCACAAACATTTACCTTCCTGACAGATAAGCAAATCTCTTTTATCCTGACAGATAAAAGAGATAAGCAAAAATTATTGTGTAAGTTTCTTATTGCCCCTTCAATTTCTGTCATTACTTTTCTTTAATGTATTCAGAATATGACAGCCATTTCAAAAAATATTTTAAAAGAAAATCTAATCCTGACATTCCTCTTCTTACGACACTATTTTGGCTTCCTAACTGACTCTAAATAGCAAAGTCCACACAGTGGCCTAAAAAACTTCTACATAATCTATACCCACACCATTCCTGTTCTCTTTTAAGTCTGTGATCTCATTCCCTACTATCTCTGCTCACCCTTTCTAGATCTGCTAACAGCAGTGTTGGTGGCATAGATCAGTGTACTTTGCTACCCTTTGGGGTTATCACAATTAGTTCAGATTGCTAACTAAAGCAATCCCTTACTGAGATAGCTCCTTTTACAAAACAGTGCTTTGCTTTTACATTGTACTTTCTTTCTGTGGATCTCAGTGGGTTTTCTCATTTATCAGATAATCTTTATTCATAGAGGAAATGAGACTGAAAAAGTTGATTTCCTACAAAAGGATGATCTGAGGCTGAGAGCAGTTAATTGATCCAACTAAAATCATGTGCTTAGTCAAAAGCTGTCCCCAAAATGTTATTCATTTGACTCTACAACTTTCATCTTAGATTATAAAGTAGTCAATTTTTGAACACATGCTGTAACAGTTTGATTCTTACATAAAGACTCCTCAGATAATGGTAGAAGAAATATTGTTGTTATTTTAGAATCTTATTCCTACAAATACTACTCAATAACTAAATGCTAAAATTATTAAATACTATAACTACTACTAAATAAGTCTACCACATTTTTTTTAGAAATTAATATTATTTCTGAACGTGGTTAGTGAGATTGTATCAAACCAATGCTAGCAACATACAAAAAAAAAATTGAAGAATCCTGAGAGCTTCTCATGCAGTCAAAATCTGAG